TAGGCAAAGGACACAGTCAACAAGACAAAAGGGCAGTCCACAGAATGGGAAAAGATATTCCCTAACCCCACATCTGACAGAGGGCTGATGTCCAAAATTTACAAAGAACTCAAGAAGCAAGTCTCCAAAACACCAAAGGATCCAATTAAACTATAGAACTAAATAGAGAATTCTCAATAGAAGAGTCTGAAATGACTGAGAGGCACTTAATAAAGTGCTCAATATCCCTATCCATGAGGGAAATGCAATCAAAATAACTCTGAGATACCATCTTACTCCTGTCAGAATGGCAAAAATCAAAAACACCAACGACAATTTATGCTGGAAAGGATGTGGTAAAAGGGGAATACTCCTCCATTGCTGGTGGGAGTGGCAACTCACACAGCCACTTTGAAAATCAGTATGGAGATTCCCCAGGAAAATGGGAATCAGCTTACCACAAGACTCAGCAATTCCACTCTTAGGCATATATCCAAAAGATGCATAGTCATCCAACAAGGATGTCTGTTCCACTATGTTCATAGCAGCATTATTTGTAATAGCCAGAATCTGGAAGCAACCTAGATGCTCCTCAACTGAAGAGTGGATAGAGAAAATGTGGTACATTTACACAATGGAGTACTACTCAGTGGGGAAAAAAAAACAATGGAATCTTGAAATTTTCAGGCAAATGGATGGCACTATAAGAAACCATCCTGAGTGTGGCAACCCTGTCACAAAAAGACAAACATGGTATGTACTCACTCATATATGGATTTTAGACATGGATCAGGGGAGTGCCAGCCTACAATCCCACTTCCAGAGTGTCTAGGAAATAGATACTTCAACCAATGACTGATGGAAACAGAGGCAGACACCCTTGGCTAAACATTGAACTGAACTCAAGGAATAGAGTAACAGAGAGGGAGGACTGATGAGCATAGGGGTCAAGACTGGCCTTGTTTAACCCACAGAAACAGCTGACCTGAACAAGGGGGAGCTCTTGAACCCCAGACTAATTGCTGGGAATCCAGCATGGGACTGATCCAGACCCACTGAATGTGGGTGTCAGTGAAGAGGCCTAGGCAATCTATGGGACCTTGGGTATTAGATCAATATTTATCTCTGGCATACAGATGGACTTTGGGCACCCATCCCACAATAAGAGATGCTCTCTCAGCCTGGCCTCTTGGGAGAGGGCCTAGGCCCAGCCCTGGATGAAATGACAGACAGTGGATGCCCCCCCATGGAGGGTCTTTCCCTCCCTGGGGAAAGGAGTGGGGGGGTGTTGGGGATTGGTGGGAGGGCATGGAAGCAGTGGAGGGAGAGGGACCTGGGAATGACATGTGAAGCAACCTTGCTGGTATAGGGGATCAGGAAGATTGAGTTGAGGTAAGAATAAGAACAGGATGAGAGATTAAGTCATTATAGGCTTGAAGAGAGAGCTGACACTAGTGAGATCTCCAGAGATCTACAAGGATAACACCAACTGGCAAACTAAGCAATAGTGGAGAGACTACATTAATTGCCCCTCCTTATATGCCATCCTAGAAACTTCATCCATTGACTGATGGAAGCAGAGACAGATACTCACAGCTAAACACTGAACTGCACTCCTGGAACCTAGTGACAGAGATGGAGGAGTGATGAGCAAAGGGGTCAAGACCATGATGGTGAAACCCATGTAGACAGCTGACTGGATAAGGGGGAGCTCTTGAATCCCAGACTGATGCCTGAGAGACAAACAGGGGACTGATCCAGACTCCATGAATGTAGTCTCAGTGAGGAGGCCACAGAAATCACTGGAGCCTTGGGTAGGCAATCAGTGTTTATCATGATTTATGAATGATCCTTGGGAGCCCATTCCAGATAGAGGGATGCTCTCTCAGCCTGGACACATGGGGAAGGGCCTAGGTCCTGCCCTGGATGAAATGACAGACTTTGGAGATCCTCCAAGGAGGATCTCACCCTCCTTGGGGAATGATGTGGGGATTGGCTGGGGGGTTTGTGGGGCTTGTGGAGGGACTAGGAAGGAGGGGTGGGAGAGGAAGATGGCAAAAAAAGAAAAAATATTTAAAAAAGTAAAAAAATAAAAATAAAAAGACATTAAATATCAAAAAAGAGCCCATAGTAAAGACATACCTAGCTTTTTAAGAAATTTCTCTAATATTTTACATTCCATTAAAATTTTCCCTCCCTTCTTTCCTCCAAGTCCCCCTTTGCCCTAGATCCATTCCTCTACTGTTTTCCTTCAGAAAGGGGCAGGATTCCCAGGGGTATGAACCGAACATGTGATATCAAGTTGCAATAAGACTAGGCTGGAAGAGGCAACTGAGTAGGAGTTAAAGGGTCCAAAAAGAAGGCAAAAGAGTCAGAGACAGCCCCCATTCCCACTGCTAGGAGTCCCACAAGATGATCAAACTACAGAACTGTAACACATATGTAGAGGGCCGAGATCAGACCCATGTAGGCTACCTGATTGTAGATTCAGTCTCTGTGAGCCCTTGTGAGTCCTTGTTAGTTGGTTCTATGGGCTTTATTGTGGTGTTCTTGACCCCTTTGGCTCCTGTAATTCTCCCCAACTATGCAGGGTTTCCCAAGCTCCACACAATTGGTTGTGGGTCTATCTTCTTTTCTCCTCTGGTGCTGAGTAAAGCCTCTCTCATGATGATTATGTTGTGTTCCTGTCTATGAGAATTATATAGTATTCTTAGAAATCAGAAAGAAAAAAAGTCACTTTTGTGTAGTGAGTGATTCAACCAGCCTCATCTGCGATGCTCCCCATGCATGTTTGGGCATGGTCACAGGTGCATATGTGAGCGTGTGGTATTTGGTCTGGGGTCCAGACAGCCTTGCTCTCTCTTGGTTCTGGTTGGGTCAGGGAAAGAAGCCTGGGTGTGGATCCTTGGAGCTGGAACTTGCAGGTCATCAGTTTCCTCTGTAAGTGATTTCTCCCCAAATAAAATTAACCTATATTTAACCTAGTCCTCTGTATCTTGATCTGTACATCTAAACTTTGGGCTTTTTAAAAAAAATTGGAGGTTCAGTTTATTTTGCAGTGTTTTGTATTATGAGATTAACTTGAGACTTTGTGGACAAAGGATGGAAAGTTAAGGTTTAAAAGTAATGTATTTGCTAGTGTGACAGTTTGACAAGGGGTGGATCATGATGGTTTAAAATATCAATTTGCCACAATTTAAAATCATCAGGATAAAGACCATAAATTGAGTAATTTCCTGTATCAACTTGAACAGAAGAGACATACAGAGCAGAGTGTCTTGAATGTTCTTTCATGTGGTAAGACATAGATCATTGTGGTTGGCACCATTTCTTTGGTTGGGGGTCCTGAACAATATGCAGTAGGATAAATCTAAAAGCAAGCAGACATCGTGGTGGATGCATTCTTTTCTTTCTGTTCTTAATGATGAATATGTGACAAACTGCCTCAGTCTCCTGCCTCTAGTAGATCCTTGTAATAATGGACTATAATCTGAATTGTAAGTCAAATAAACCCTTGCCTGTGCCTAGCTGTTTTTATCTTTGTTGTAGAAAAATAAACAATATTAAACAGCCATGTTCAGAAATTTGCCTAAGAGTCCCAAAACCCTTGCATTACTCTGTCCTCATACTTTTCTCCCCATCCTCTGGCTTAACCTGCAATGGGCAGAGACCTTATGCTATGACTCATATTCCTGAGTTCACACACTCTGCTTTCTTTGATTTTTTGTCTGTTTTTACTGTGATACAAATCTAATGAGTTGCTATTTTTGTAGTTCTTTTGGAGGGCATCTGATTTGTTCTGTATTCTATCCCTGCTACCTGTGACACTGCCTGACCTATAAGAGGATCTTAATAAATATGTGCAAAATAAATTAGTATTCCCCTTTTCACTGTGGGTATATCTCAGACATCACATGGCATTTATCCTGTCCTACTAGTCAGCAGCATGCATATAGGTATCCATTGAAAAGGCATTTCTTTTATATATTTGTATATCTTTTTCCTTTTTTCCCCATGTGAGTTATTTTCTGTTTGGTGCCTGCTATCACTGCATATTAGAGCTGAAACTAGAGCCCACATCTTTAAAAACCATGTCTTACCACACTGCCTTCTTAATATGACAACCACTCTCTGCCTCAGAAGCCTCTGCTGAAAGAAGCATGAACATTATCCTTTTATTTTTGTAAGACTCTATCACAGTGATGTAGATTTACCAACTCTATCAAAAGCTTACTAGCTGCTGGGTTCACACAAAGGAACTGTGTAATCTGGTAGTAAAATATTGCAATGCAAATAGTGAAATCCAAGCAAAATACAGACTATAATATTGACACAGAGCCTGGCTCTTTGCCACATTAACGATTATGTGTCCTCTTTGGGAGATGTGTGATGCATTGTTGGCTGGCAGCATCCCTAGCTCCAAGGATCAGATAAAAAGGTTTACAAATTTCCAAATCGAGGAATTTTTTTCTTTATTTACTCACTTGCTCTTTTGATTACCTGACTCCTTTTGGTAGGAAAATACTTTTAACAATATTTATCATCACGAAGTAAAAATTTCTCATGATGGTAAGTACATACTCACTCCTGAACAGCATGCAAAAAAATCCATCAGAGAAAGCATAACATCCTTATTGTAAGCTCTCTGTAGTTATATCATCCAATACTTAATTTTATATTTATTTCTCTGTTTTCTATTCTTGTTGTCTCCTGGGAGAAGTATTGCTGCTCACAGCACTGGTTTGTATAGTTTGATTTACTTGTCATTTTCTTCAATATTTATCAAATAAACAATGTTTGAAAGCTTTTATTCTATCCCTGGTTTTCATAACATCCTTGGTGGCAACATATCCTTACTTTGTTTTCCTATTAAAATTATAAAATTCAGGGGGCAAAGAAACATTCTCCCTTTCCCTTAAGCTAATGGTGAATGCAAATGATAAGAACTTTTGTGAATATCAAACATTGTTTACAAGCATTTTAATGTTGTATATTAAAGACTGATGGCATAGATACATTACCTGCATATTTATTTAATCTTCAACACTCTTTCTTTAGACGTGTAGTATTTGTAAACCCCGTTTTGTGGACAGAAAGCTGAGACTGAGGTGCATTCAACAATGTCCGCAAAGTCACAGAAGTGTTAAAGTCTAGAAGAAGATTTAAACATGAGCCTTCAGCTTTTGCTAGATGCTTAAGAATCAGTAACTTTAATAACTAACATTCTATATGAGGCTCTCTTAAGCTTTCCCAATGCACTATCTTTTTCTAAAAGAGAAATTTGTACTTGATGATCATTGTGTGTGTGTATGTGCGTGTGTGTGTGTGTACCCTGCTCCCATATTTACTGAAAATAAATCACAATGAAGTCAATTTAAAACAATTTTGGGGGTACATACATAATTTTATCACTTGGTAAAGGCAGCCAAATTTTAATAACAAGGAGATTATGTGTTTGTTTATTTCTTGAGAAGATCAGATCCTGGCTGAATTGACTTTGCAGAGTGTATGGCATCTTCAATGCCTTTCATAGTTGATTGGTCTTTAATTTCATTATTGCCAGTGTTGAGAATACCACTTTAAATCCATTTATAAAATGTATTAGCAGAGAAATGTTTATGGCAGTTTCAGAAATTTTTAAAAATTCTGTCCTATCCCCATCAAAAACACCAATGGCAGTTTATGCTTGAGAGGATGTGGAGAAAGGCAGAACACTATCAACTGCTGGTGAGAGTGCCAACTTGTACAGCCACTTTGGAAATCAGTATGGAGATTCCTCAGAAAAATGAGACTCAGTCTACCACAAGACCCAGCAATTCCACTCTTAGGCATATACCCAAAAGTTGCCCATTCATACACGGACATCTGTTCCACTATGTTCATAGCAGATAAACACTGAACTGAACTCCTGGAACCTGGTGACAGAGATGGAGGAGTGATGAGCAAAGGGGAAAAGGCCATGCTGGTGAAACCCACAGAGACAGCAGACCTGACAAGGGGGAGCTCTTGGATCCCAGACTGATGGCTGAGAAGCCAGCATGGAACTAATCCAGACCCACTGAATGTGTCAGTGATGAAGCCTCGGCAATCTCTGGGGGCTTGGGTAGTAGATCAGTATTTACCATGGCATACAAATGAACTTTGGGAGCCCATTCCACATGGAGGGATGCTCTCTGGATACATGGGGGAGGGCCTAGGCCCTGCCCTAGATGAAATGGCAGACTGTGGATATTCCCCATGGAGGGCTTCACTCTCCCTGGGGAGATGTGTGTAGATGGGGTGGGGCTGCAGCAGCTGGAGGAGAGGCAAAGGAGGAAGGGAGGGAGAGGGTTCTGGGATGGGCATGTGAAGCAAGCTTGTTTCTAATTTAAATAAAATATATTTAACTTTTTTTTTTTTTTTTTTTTTTTTAATCATTTTTTATTTTAATTTTAAATAGCTTGTTTCACATGTCAATCCCAGTTCCCTCTCCCTCCCCTCCTCCCGCACTCCCCTTCCACCCTCCCTCCCACCCTATTGCCAAATCCCTCCACATAGGGGATGTCTAAAGTCTATCATTTCACTCTTGGTAGGGTCAAGGCACTCCCCTAAGAGTCCAGGCTGAGAGAGCATCTCTCTTTGTGCCATAGGCACATGAAGACAGATTGTATACCAGGGATAGACACTGATCCACAGCTCAGAGCCCCATAGGTTGCCCAGGCCTTCTCACTGACACTCACATTTGGGGGGTCCAGATCAGTCCCATGCTGGCCTCCCCACTGTCGGTCTGGGGTCCAAGAGCACTCCCCTGTTCAGATCAGCTGTCTCTGCTGGTTTTGCCAGCCCATTCCTTGCCAATTTGCTCATCACTCCTCTTTCTCTGTCACTGGGTTCCTTGGGTTCAGTTCAGTGCTTAGTTGTGTGTTTGCCTCTGCTTCCATCAGTCCCAGGATGAAGGCTCCCGGATAGTTATAGACATCAAGTTCATTATCAGGAATGGGCATTCGAGGTGGTCCTTCCACTATTGCTTAGCTTGCCAATTGATGTTATACCTTTAGATCACTCGAGGTCACTCTGGTGCCTGATCTGTCTTCGATCCTATGATTCCCTCTTCCCCTATTTTACCCCCACCCCCTCAACTTCCTGTTCCCCCATGACCAACTCCCTTCCTCTTTACCCCCTCTACTCTTCCCAGGTCCCACTACCCCCCCCCTCGCCCTGTTCCCCATCCATTCAGAGGAAAAAGAGAGAGAAAGTATCTGAGTGGGAGATAGAATAAAATTATAGAGATCCCTTCTGGGCTGCAGCCAATTTCTCTGTCCAGCAAATCTCCCACAACCTTTTGCAAGTTCTAGTCCCACAAGTCTCCCTAGTTCTCCATCTGTGTCTTCTCCCAATACAGCAGATGTAGCCCAGGTCCCACATTCAATTTCCATAGTCTGGTAACTCCTGTCTGATTCATGTCCTGTACCTGGGATTCTGCCAAGACCTGCCCTGTCTGCAGATGCATCCCTTCTACTCTGCATTTAAACCAGCCAGATTTGCACACCCTTCTCAAGGATCTTGACAGTAAACCTCCTGATCTACCCTATCCATGCTTTCTCCTTAGCTACCCTGATTCCTACCCCATCTAGCCCAGATCACTTATGTAGTCCCCAGGCTTTATCTGGCCACCCCTACTTATACTACAACTAAACCCTAGATTTCCATCAAGACCCATCCACCTATGCTCCAATCCACAGGCCTCTACCACACCACCTCTAACCTTTCTATAAAGTCAGATCTACCCCCACACTGCAAGCTTGGATTAAAAGGCACATGCTGTACACTAGTCCAGTCCCCTCTTCTACACTTGACTTCATTCCACCCAAGCCATTTCCAACCTCTTGGCCAAAACCAACTTCAGACCCTCTCCTCTGCTCAAATTTGCTTTGTCCAAGTCAAAGTTAGAACTAACAAAAAAGTCCAGATGCCCAGATCTCATCAGAAAATTACAAACACTATAAAAGTTCTAGCCAGGATCTGCTCTCCAAAACCTTTAAGTCCTTCAGAAATGTTTGTGAATGGGAATTATGTAAATGAACGTCAGGACAAAGAATAAAAAATAACAACTATGAAATCCATGGAAGAATTCAAGGAGCTTAAGGAAGAAACAAAGTAACAATTCAATGAAATTAAGGGGAATAAAACTTAAGGAGAAAAAAAAAGGCCTGATAACTGAGAATACACAAACATAAGGCTGAGGGAAGTGACAAGATTTCATGAATTTAAGACAGAGATCCATAAGGAAATAGAAACATTGAAAAGGACTTTGACTGAAATGAAGATGAAACTGAAAAACACAGTGAATCAGCTAGAAAGCTTAAGGAAAGTCTTGCAAGTAGAACCAATCGAGCCACAAATAGGAAAATAGACATAAGGAGTTGAAGATAAAGTAGAGAATATCCCATGTCAATGGCATAGACCATATCTTCAACAAGATCATTGAAGGAAATATAAGATATACCCTTATAGGTAGAACAAGCACACAGAACACCAAATACACAGGACCAGAAAAGAAAGTTCCCATATCATATCATAATTAAAATTGGAAGTATACGCAACAAAAAAGTGTATTGAAAGCTGTAAAAGTGAAACCTCAAGTCACATATAAAGAAAACCCCATCAGAATAAAAGATTTCTTAATGGAAAATGTGAACACCAGAAGACTCTGAGGCAATGCATACAAAGTTTAAAAGATGATGACAGCCAGCCTAGACTATTAAAGTCAGCAAAAATATCTGCAGTAATTAAAGGAGAAAGAATAGTCTTCCATGAGATAAACAGCCTAAAAAATTATATACAACAAACCAAGCACAAAGGACATGTAAGTAGCAATATTTCAGTCAGAAGAGCAGAATATAAGCATAGCAGACAAACTGTGGGAAGAAGTATGATGTCATAATTACCAAAACAAATTCTTACTGAGAACCCAAATAAGAACTTCAAAAAAATCAGCAATATGATGACCACAATTAAATCTCATATTTCAATAATAGCCTTAAATAACAATAACCACCAATCAAAAGTATGTAGACTGACTAAATGAGCCAACAAATAATATTCCTGTATCAATTGTCTATAAAAATTGCACTTTTGCTTTAAAGATAGGGATCTCATTAGAATAAAAGAATGGACAAAATAAACTTATGCTCAAGACAACAATTTACAAAAAAATATTAATAACCATAAATCAGATAACTGCAAACCAAGAAATAGCAGCATCACTTTGACATCATTTTATTCAATTCACTTGCTCCATGTTGAAAAGTGTTGAGCCTCCATGGATACTTAGAGGAAGAATGGGATGGGTAAAAGTTCTCCATCAGGAATAGAAGACACAAGTCGTTAAAGACTATTAAGACTTTAAGTTCACTTTAAATGAGGAAAGGATCTGTATACTTCTGCATAAATACACATCATGATGTAGCTAAATATTAACAGTATTGTTATGTGAAGAACAATATACTGTAGCATAATAACAGCTGAAATACAACAGTAATAATTGGTTATTAAACTACTTCAGGCAGAGAACATAATTTAAAACCTATATTAGAGATAGATCTAATACTTGCAAGTGACTAAGACAATGAGTCATCATAATTTCCTTCTCCAAATGCCATGCATTCTTTTGCCCTCTCCTTCACTCTGCAAAGATGTTCCTCTATTATGCCAAAACTTGTATTTTAGGAAGAATAGTGGGAAGAAAACATATGAAGTATGACTGGGAAAAAGTGACCATCTGAAGTCATATACAGTACTCACAGTGACAGACCATGGTGTCAATAAGGACAGTGCAAAGAAGGGGAAGATCCTTCTGTAGACTGTGGATGTGAGTTAGTGACTTTCTGATAGTGACACCCCAAAGGAAAGAATGACTCACAGATTTCTGACCAACAGTTTGGGTGAGGTTGCCAAACTAAAATGAGAAAATAGCCTAAACAAAAATATTGAATTGGAAGACACAGGAAGACAATACAAATTCAGTTGTGGACGAACTAGATTCAGAATTCTTGTGAGAAATTCAGGTAACCGTTGGGAACAAGTGAGTAACACATGTGTGGGCTCAGAAATTAGGAATGAGGATGGTGAGTCTGACTCATTAATCAATAGACATGTGCAACTGTAAGAATATTGAAGGTTTGGAAGAAGTTTTGGAAAAAGACAAGCACAGTGATTATATAACAGAAAGGAACATTTCCATTTTATATATAGGCTAAGAAGTAAGTTATAAAAGTTTCTAGAAGGTATGGGATGAATTATGAAGTTATAGGATAGGGAAGCTAAAGGAATCAGAATGAATAGTTAAGCATATCAAACATCAAACATGGTGAACAGTCTCAGAATTCAAGGATTTAAAGTAATCAGGTCAACTTAGCATTATAAAATTACTATGTGATTGCTAACTTCCATAGAAATTGAAAAAGATGGATAGTATCAGTATTCTGACCATTCTGTCAATTAGAGAAGGAATCCCTACAGGTTGCTACTTCATATTTCTCTTCATTTTTCATCCCTGTTTCCTACTCATGGCATACCAAATAATATAAATTAGAGATTGACCACCTGTATGAACTGGTAATTTAAATTGCAACAGTAAATCACTGACTCCACTTGGTTTGTGCTGTACCCCTTATACATTGTCAAAATATTGTCCTCAACTAAGTTTCCACAAACTTTAGAAAACTGGCATATGTGTCAAGTTGCTTTGCATTTGTCATTTCCTGCTTTGTCAAACACACAGGCTTCTTATTTTTAGTGTCACTAAGAATTACTGCCTTTAGTTGCTAATCACTAAAGAGTTGCAAAGTATCAGTTGTTTGTGACTGGCACAATCTATTTTGATCACTATATAGCTTGCATTCAAGGAATGTCACATTCCACTGTGTGCTATGCTAGATCACAATATCATTTTACACTGAATTCCAAATTCTTTACACTCCACCACTAATATATCTGGATGTGAATAGCCTAATTTGTGAGCTACATAACTCCTTTGTTCCCTTGCAATAGATGTCATGCTAAACTGTCCCTCATACCCAAATAAAGCACCCTATTATTCCTACTTGCAGTGTAGAACTTTTGTAGTCTTGCTCAGTGCTCCATTCATGTCCTTTCTAATAAAGGCCTCTTTGTAACATGCACATTAGTAGAATATTCTAAATCTCAGGTTCTCTAGAAGAACTCTAAAGAAAAGAGAATAGTAGCATATGCATATTTAGAACAAATAAAAATAACAGAGTGATCAATCGAGGAGGGTTTCAGTCCCCATGACAGTGACAGAAATGTGGATCAGTTTTAATGTATTGTTCTGAAGCAATGCCTTGCTTTGCCTACCTTAAAAGTGTTTACCTACTTATTGTACTCTTGCCTTACTGTACTTTCACCTTTGACCTCACATTTTCAATGTTAGAAACTTATGCATATGCAGACACCAAAAATTTCCATATGGTTCTTTTTATCAGATAAAAATATTTGAATCAAGTGTAAGAAATTTTGGATTTTAGAGTTATGTTTACTAATTCGCTTGCATAGCACTTCAAAGGAGATTAAATTTGAAATAAAAAGATGTTTCTTCTAGTTTGATGCCTGATATCTCAGAATTCTTTGTCATTTTATTCCTAGTTGTTACAAGAAGAAAGGAATGAAGGAAGGAAGGAAGGAAGGAAAGAAGGTTAAAAATCATAGCAGAAGAGAAAGTCAGACCAGATATTATACTAAGCTGTAGCAAATGTGTTCACCTTTTATAGTCCCCATGTTTTATAATGAAGATACTTCATTGAAACAATGATGCATACTTCAAGGGTTCTCTGGAGAGCAGTGAATCCTGTTTGGAGAGATTCATGAATATGTGCATTAGTACAATCCAACTGGAACTTGCCCTTAAAAAAATGAACCACGAGAGAAGCTGATCAGGTTCCGCTTATGTATATAATCAGAAGGTTATCATATTATCTCTCTCTCCATGGAAAAATCTGATGTGATGAAAAATGCCAAATGAAACCATTTTCCCCTCTGTGATGCTCATCATGTGAAATCCACATATAGACCTTTTAATAGTGGGTGAAAAGAACAGAAACTAAACATGGGCTCCATTTTAAAATGAGTTATAGTCTTTTTTTTGCATATGATGAATCATAGTATAAACCTTCAATTATATATCTCTGCCTTAATTTACTGAGTCACTATCAAAGCTACATTCAGTCAAAGGAGTTCTAGAGGTCGTACAAAATGAGAGAAACATTTCAAACACACACACACACACACACACACACACACACACACACACACACAAGCACACGGACAGACTGTCCCTAAAGATGAATGAGGGACACATGGCAGATCTTGAAGTAGTAGTTTATTTAAAGTACTAAGAATTTCAGGATAAATATTTCCAACCAGCAGTTGGTGCCATTTCCAAGAAAAATGGACGACCTCTATGAAAACCATGACAATGATAAAATGCATCTAGGTATATTTGCAGATTTATCTTTAAGTCTTTAACTCTTAAGAATTTCAAACAAAGCTGACATTATATAGAAAGAGGAATCCTGCATCCCTCATTCTCCCCCAAATCCTCAGCCATCTTGTATTAATAGCATGAAATCATCATTATATAGCCCCCACTTAAAAGTTGTTAAACTGCCCTTACCTATGCTATGCTAAACAGAAATGTCATTCTGAAAAATGTATAATTGCTACATGAAATTTGAAGAAGTATCCTTTTAAATTTAGGGAAGATAATTCTAATAAAAATATATAATTGTTTACAGATTCTGATTTCTAGGTACCACTCCCCCAGTCATCAGAGCAGTGGTGTACAAACATGGAGAGGACAAACAATTGTCCCCAAAACCATGTGAATATAATATTTTTAAACCCTATCTAATTCTTGCCTAGGAATTTTACTTTTGAAATATGGGTTAAGTCATGACTTAGGTGTTTGGTAATGATTTGCCAGACACCGTTTTGTGTCTTCATTTCTAGAAAACAATGTTTATGCTTGTTCATTTTATTCCCAAATCTCTGGATTTAAGACCTCCTTGGAAATCTTGAAAGGGCTTCTAATCATGAGTGGAGGGTCTGCCACCATTTCAGAATACACTGTAAAGACGAGGCATTCTTATTAAGTGGAGAGGGTAAAGCACTGTAGCCAAATATTAAGTTATTTCTAACTTTTTTCTCCAGAAGTTGTATTCATGTTTGGGAAAACTAGTACTTTGTCACATTCCAAGGAAGAAAGCATTTTATTTAGTAATAGTTCAAATAATGCAGCAAAAATGTCTCTGTGTGCATTTGAACTGGCCCTGGTGGCCTGATTCAGTATTTTGCCCATTTTCTTGGCTTTTCAAGCTTCACTGAACACACAAAAAGAAATTGTACAAAACACTTAGCACTATTTTTTTCAAGACTGATAATGGTGCTTTCACTTCACAGAGGCAGGAACAAATTATTTCGAAAGGTAAGGGTTCTCAGAAAAACTAGAAAACTCTGCTCCTACGTTTTGGCTTCAGCTCTCTCCACTGCTGGTGTAGATTTTCATTTGAATGCCTAGAATCTCTGAGGACCTATGCTTACAGTGTTAAATACGGAATAAGATCATCTGGGCAGATCCAAAAACACATATTTCACATAGAAGAGCGCTTTTTAAAAGGAAGAAGGCAAATAATCTATCTAATAAGAATTTTACAAGAGTTACCTTTTGCAAAAGGCGGTTTTCACCAGCAACATTCCCATCTGTGGAGTGAAGACAGCTGGCTACTGAATCTCTCTCTCTCTCTCTCTCTCTCTCTCTCTCTCTCTCTCTCTCTCTCTCTCTCTCTCTCTCTCTCTCTCTGTCTCTCTCTCTCTGTCTCTGTGTGTGTGTGTGTGTGTGTGTGTGTGTGTGCGCGCGCGCAGAGGAGAGGTGGCAGTGAGCAAGTAGAAGGTCAAAGGGTAAATTCCAATTGCTGTGACATATTTTTATGAGCAGAATCATAGCCAGCTTTTAGCCTTGAACAGGGAAGAAGATCTTAGGAAGGGAAGGGACATGAATGGGCTGGTCAGGAAAATCAAGAAACGCTCTCCCAAATTAGCAGCTAATTGCTCCCCAACCTGCCATATTCATCCATTTGAGCTTTATTTTATTGTGCTGTGCTTGAAAAGATCCGTTCTCTAATAAAGGAATCATAGTGAAATCTCAGTTGCAAAATAGGAAGTTGTCTTCGGGATTTTTACTTCCCTGTTTCAAAGCCTTTGGTGTTTTTCCTGGGGTGGGGGTGGGGTGGGGTGAAGCATCCTTGAAAATCTGAAAGGAGGAGGAGACTACGTGGGAGTTAGTTCTCTGACAAAGCACCGCAGAGGCAGCAGGAGAAGGGAAACGTTGAGCTGCTGCCGGCTGAGAGACAGGAGGGCCACTTGCCTTGCTTTGTTATCAGTCCGAACTACTGCACCCCAGCTTTCTCTCCTGCAAGCTCTCCCCACAACGTGGGGGACGATTTTCTGCTTTGTACTATGTGTGCTACCAGGCAAAGAGAAAAAGAAAAAAAAAGAGGGAAACGAAGGAGAGAGAGAGAGAGAGAGAGAGAGAGAGAGAGAGAGAGAGAGAGAGAGAGAGAGAGAGAGAGAGAGAGAGAGAGAGAGAGAGAGAGAGAGAGAGAGAGAGAGAGAGAGAGAGAGAGTGGGGTGAGGAGGCTGCAGCCTAGGCAGAGCAGCTGTCAGGCCAGCCCAGCATCCCAGTCCCCGCGGTCTCCAGCGGTGGCGGCACCGCACTGGCAGCAGCTGCAGGGAGGCCCTCCTGGTCCCCAGCGGATACACGCTGGGGTCAGTATGGGGAGTCCCTCTAGCTTTCTTCTTCTGAGCAAGCAAATTCTTCACATTCCTGCACTGGGGCCCTCTGGGCTGCAGCTGACCTGCCGCTAGCTTCCGGGTCCCAAACCTGCCACCTCCAGGGACACCCTAACCGTTCTGCATGTGTCCTAGAAGGTGTCCCAGAGCTGTCCCCTCTAGGCTTCTCCTTCCCCCATGTCTGCCTGAGGGTCTTACACACACAGGCAGCCCTGGAAGGGTGCAAAGCCTGAGAGGGAACACCATTTTCAAAGTTGATGGGAGAAACCCAGGCTTAACTTGAGATGGGGACCAGTCCTGAGACTTTAAAGAAGATGAAGAAATTAGGCAATTTCACTATTAGCAGAGGCAGCGTTATGACCCTTTTTGTTGTAAAAGGGACATAAATGTAGCTGCAGATTGAATGAAGTTATAGGCCATAAAAGGGCAAGAGAGAAGGGAAGAGATAATAGGCGCTGTCCATCTGCACCTCTTACCCTCCCTGTGTCAGACCTCCTCAGCAGTGTTGGTGGCAAACAGTCTACCCACAATAATAAATGGGGGAAGGCGGAAGGATAAATGCCACCGAGTGCAGCCGTGCATTTTAGAGTGGCGACAATTGCTGTTTATTTGCTTTTCGTTTATGAAAATGACAAAGGGCAAGGTTATATGTGAGACACATCTCCACATTGTGGTTTACTCGAGGTTTTGAGAATCAAGGTGACTGGAAGCAGCCAACTTTCATTTATTTGAATATGGAAAATATTCAAAATGTTCTCTCTAAAATGCAGATTTTTCTTTATCAAATGCGTTAGCAGAAAGAAATTCAACAACTTTGGGACATTTAGTCATCCCGTTTTCCTTCACCAATCCTGTGCCCTAAAACTAGTAAATTCTGCTCAAAGTTTATGATAATTTGTATCTATGAAGTTCAGCTCTGCTGTGCAATGATAGTTTTAAAAATATATATTTGGACATTTCAGCTCTGACAATTAAAAATGTTTATTTGCTGGAATATTATGTAGATTTACTATTGTGTTTCATTTCTCAGTCTAAGGTTAAGTCCAATAAGGTCAAATGCGGGAATTCTCCATAGCCAGACATCAAATATGATCACAGCCTGGAAAAAGGGAGCGATTTGGTTTAGACTGAACACATGTTTCAGTCAGTGTTTTATGTATATGATAACTTTTCAACTAAATGGGGAAATGTAATATTTTTATCACGAAAGATGTTTTGTGATAATTCCAAAGTGCTCATTAATAACAAAAGTAATAGAGTAATAGCTTATTTTGAGATATTAACATGGATCATGTTTTATTTTTGATTACTAAAATGGAATAGAACATGTACAAATAAAACATATTCATCATAAGTCATGGTGATTAAGCTATACTAGAAAAACAGCCATATGGCATTTATATTTAAATTATTTTCTTAAATATCAGCAACATGTTGAAGCATTTTATAAACCCTGAAAATTTTTCATAAAAGATAGAGAACTGAGAATTAGAAGAACATTTACTAAAGGAAATCTTATAAACTATAAGAAATTGAATGAAAGCCTATACTTTACTAACTATATTATTTGTGCAATTTTTAAAAATGAATAAAAGGATGTGTTGATATTTATGTTGTGATATGGAAAATAGGATTTTTGTGTTTCTGATTTCATTCAGATATTTTATATTCCATGTTTTTAATTTGATATATTTTTTAAGTTTCAATTAATTTACATAGGGGGTTTTGTTCCTTAAGCTCTCTTTCCATTAGGAAGAAAATCAATGATTTATTCATTCATGGACTAATCATAATTTGTAATATCACTATTCTTTGCTAGATACTAATAATGCATACATTTCATATCACTGTATTTCTATAAAATAAGATGAAATAAAAACTGAATTCACATAATAAGAAACATACAGTTTTAGCCAAATAGTTTAAAAAATACACACTATTTAGAATGTAGGATGAAATTGTATTTCTGTAGAGTCAAACAAAAGCTCTCTGAATGGAGATTCCAGGATTTCTTGGGCTTTGTCTAAATTTAAAGTGCCCTCTACTGTCCAAAGTCTGTACTACTTGAAGAGAGAATGACAAGCCTGAAATCACAACCTAGATAAGTAGAGACAGATGAAAGAGAAGACAGTAGATAATATCATTGTTCCAAGCCTGGAGCCATTCAATTTGCATGGCTCCATTGGCAGAAAGCTTTGCTCCACTCCCAAGTTAAAGTTCTGTTAAAATTATTTGTAACTTCATAATGGTTGTGATCTCCTTCTCCCCTTAGTTCTGCACTTAAAACTGAAATTCTGTTTTGGTTTCACTGCATGAGTTACAGTGAGGGTATGGCCAGTGTATAAATATGAATGTCAGTCTAAACATCAACAATGACCACCCCCATATATTGACTATCAAGGAAGATTATCCAGGATACTTTCTTCTACATATTTTTAAATCAGGATGTCTTCTTCTTTTTCTTCTTCTTTGTCTCCCTCTTCTTTGTCATGGTGGTCAGAATTCTATCTATTTCAAAGTTTAAAAAAAGATTATGTGGTAGTACAAGGCTCACTAATCAGTTAATTCTTTGAGTTTTTTTTAAAGAATCTACCAAAAGTAGGCACCTATTTTGTTGTTCTTCTTTTAAAAGCATTTGAGCACCCTGTTAAGCATTATATATGCTTCTTAGTAAGCTTGTTATAATCTTTCATTTCAAGGAAGTAATCCATTAAAATTTGTCATAAAAATTCAGGTAGAATAGATTACAGAAAAAAGTAAAATGTTATTATCTAAAATAAACTGCATTTTGCATTGTACTACCAAGCAATAAAACTTGAGATTTGGTCAGAATATAGGTGACAATTTAAAAATGTTTCTTTGTACTAAAGGTAATTTCTAGCATGGCAATATATTTTTTAAAGATTTTGAATGAATGAATAATGCTCAATGAAATCTGTAATTTTCTGTAAGTTTAGAGATGTGACAGAATTGAGTTGTATAAACTTAATTTGTCAAGTCTGTAACATGGGCAATAGGTCTTAGTTGAATGATTTATGAGCTATTTGGCCTACACTACAAGTAAAAACAAAATATATAGATAATTTGGGAAGGGATTTCGAGTAAGTGTCCAGTATATCTATTTCATCTAAAGAGAAATCTTTTGAGCCAAGTACACAATATGATCTAGTCCAATTTATTAGAATTGCCATTGTTCTGGTTAGTATTCAGCTACTTTTCACATTTGGGCAAAGAATTATACTGTAACATCATTTTTGAATTCCATTAACACATACTCCATTTTAAAAAGTAATGCTATGGTGCACCATGTGGTTAGTTATATTATCTATGTATTATATATCCTTCCCCTTCTACAATCACTCCTTTTATAAATTCAATTAAAGATAATCTAATTTATAATTAATCTAATATGTTTAATAACAGACCCTTGTTCTTGAACATAAATACTCTTCCTCATTATGAGTGTATTTAACAAAACTTTAAATCAAGGATTTTAAATCTCTCTAACCAGTGAGGTTCGAGGAGGGGAGGGAGCCCTGGAGCCTTCTCCTCTAGGATTATTCATTTTGAGTTAGAATGATGCTATAGAGATAGAACTAACCCAGTGATTTTTTAAGAAAAAGGTCTTTTTTTTCTTATACTATGGGAACTGATTATTTATTTTTATTATTTTTTATTGAAAAGAGATTCTTCTTTCTTGTAATACATCCCAACCACACTTCTCCCAGATGCCTGTCACCTCCCCTCTCCTCTGGATTCACTCCTCCTAAGTCTCCCATCAGAAAAGAGCAGTACTCCAAGAGACATTAACTTGACATGGCAAAACAAAATACAGTAAGACAAGGAAAAATCCCTCATACAGAAGCTGCACAAGGCAACCTATCAGGAAATGTCCAAACATCAGGCCAAAGAGTCAGAGATACCACTGTTACCACTGTTAGGAGTCCCACAAAAATACCAAGCTAACAGC